TGCAGTTTGTGTGAAAGGACTTTTTAAGAACGGATTTGGGGGCCTTATTAGGGACTAGATGAGTTCATTTCTTCCCACTGGTAGAGGGGAAAACTGGTTGGGTCAGTCATTTTAAAAGCTATCTCTGTCTTGCTAATAATAGCAAGCAACTGCTGGGAGGGTTTTAGGGGGTGACACAAACCCAAATAATTGACATTTATTTGTGCTGTAAAGATGGATAAAAGCCGTAAATTCCCTTGCTTTGTGCAGAAGCGCAGATGTGCCAGGCTAGTCTCACTCTTGAGAAGGAGAGGGCTGCTCTGGGAAGGGCTGCTGTGGGCACGCAGATTTTCTATTTTCCGTTTGTAGCGCTCATTCTTTTTTGCTGCTTACAGACGCTCTGCATTGTCTGTCAGAAAGCACTAGGTTTCTAATTACTTGCTATGTATAGTCTTGGAGGGAATGTGAAATATGTATTAGAGAGCCAAGGAATGCACCGGTCATTATTCTCGCTCTAACTCGGAGCTCGGGGACAGTGTTCCAGTAAGGCTGGGGAGGCGCCTGAGCCTAGGAAGAGGGCTCTGGGCAAGAACATTACTACTGTTGTTGCAGTTGTTACAATGTCTCCTTCAGCTCTTACTGATTTCCTTCCTTTATTTTGGCTTCGTTTGTTGCATGCAATTTTGGGAAGGGCTTTGGTGCAAAGGCTAAACATTTATTTATGGAACATGTAAAAAGTGAATAGGACCGACTTGATTAATGATGGGGTACAGCAGTGATGTGCTATAGGAAATTGTGTTGGATTCTGTAGGTTGACAGGACTGGAAAGGGTTAGTTCTGAGAACAAATGTGGGCTAAACTCTTTTGTTTTCCAACCAGGAAACAGTAAGTAGCTCAGGGCTCCAGAATTTTATTTGTACTCCCGAGGCCTTTTAAGAAAACTTCCCCATTTAGCTGCCATCCTTATCCTTGCTTTCAAGCACTGTACTTCTGGGGGGTTCTTGCCCTTTGGACCGACTCTCCTAGATTGCTGGGGGAGTCTCGGAGAAGACAGATGTGGTTGTACTAGAGCCCTCATCTGTCTTGCTCATCATTATATCTCTAGTGTCTAGAAGTGTGCCTGGCACCCAGTATGTACTCAGCAAATATTTGCTGAACGAATGAATGGCGGAGGGCAGGAAAGAGAAAAAGGATGACCGAACGCGGTCTCTGTATCTAGCCCTGTGTATGGTGCATTTTGAGTGCTCTGGTTGCTGTCACCAGCAGCCTCCAGAGGGCCAGCTCCTGTCTCCTCTCCCCGTCTCCGCCTTCCTCAGCCTCTCAGTCGCATTACCCACGGCAGTCCCCTCCTCTTCTCCCGCTTCCTTGACATCACCCTTTCCTGGTCTTCCTCTGACCTCACCGACTGCTTTTGTCCCTCTGCTGTGCTGGTAAATGTTGGCCTGCCCAGCACTTGGTCTTGGGTCTACGCCTCTATTTCTACATTTTCTTCCTGGATGATCTCATCTAGGAATAGCTTCTTCAGAGACAAGCTTTAGTCATTGATTTTCCAATTTTTATCTCCAGTCCCAGGCCCCCAGCTCCAGATTTAGACATCTGATTGTGTATCAGGCAGTTCCTTTTTCATGCGTAATGACCATCTCAACCATAAAGTGGCCAGGGAAGAACTCTTTTTTTTATTACTTTTTAAAAAAGATTTTGTTTATTTATTTTTAGAGAGGGAGGAAGGGAAGGAGAAAGAGAGGGAGAGAAACATCAGTGTGTGGTTGGCTCTTATGCTCCCCCAACTGGAGACCTGGCCTGTAACCCAGGCATGTGCCCTGACTGGGAATCGAACCGGTGACCCTTTGGTTCACAGGCCTGTGCTCAATCCACTGAGCCACACCAACCAGGGCCCTGGAAAGAACTCTTGATTCCTGTGTTTCTCTGTCAGCCTTCCCTGGACTCCTGAGGTAGTTTCCTAGTTTCTTTGGTCTCCTGATGATCTATATTTCTCATAGCAGTCAGAATGATTCTTTTAAAAAGGTGAAACAGCTCCATTTTAAAACTCTTAACGGGGTTTTCCTTCCTGTGGTTTCAGTTGCGTGCAGTCTGCTGGGGTTCGAGAATATCAAAGGAAAAATTCTAGAAAGAAACCATCCATAAGTTTTAACCTGTTCACTGCTCCGAGTAGTGCGATCCAATCTCGCGCTGTCCTGCGGTGTCCCCCCGCCCCGGCCGTGTCCGTGCCTGTCCATGCTGTGTGCGCTCTCCACCCGCGAGTTACTCGGTGGAGCCACCTCTGTTGTCAGGCATCTGTCCGGGTATCCCAGTGCTCGTCTTCAGGTAACCCTTATGTTACTTAATGAGGACCCCAAAACAATAGATTAGTGATGCTGGCAGTATGCTGAAGAAAAGCTATAAAGTACTTCCTTTAGTTGAAAAATTAAAGTTCTCGGCTTAATGAAGAAGGAAATAATACAGTATGCCAAGGTGGCTAAGATGTACGATAAGAATGACTCTTCTATCTGTGGCATTGCCTAGTTTATAAATTAAACTTTCTCATAGTATGTATAGGAAAGAACATTGTGTACATCCAGGGTTTGGTACTACCTGCAGTTGCAGGCATCTGCTGGGGGATCTTGGAACATGTCCCTCTCACATAAGGGGGGGATTACAGTATATACAAATCATTGTGCCATGCGTCGGAAACTAATAAGTGTAATGTGTCAATTATACCTCACTAGACCAGAATAAAAACAAAACTTTTCAGTGGGTCCTGAAACACCTGCAAGTGTGACTGCCCACCTCCACCTATGTGTCCCCGATTCCTAATGGGAGTACTATGTTGACCTTCTGACTCTCTGGCCGGCTTCACGGACTTCATTTCTGTTCCTGAAACATGCTAAGCTTGCTCCCACCTAGGTCCTTTGCATTCTCTTTGTTCCTGGAAACCCCTGGTTCTTTCATATCATTTTTTTCTCTGCTCACATGTCACGTCCTTGGAAGCCTCATCTGAACCACCTTATGCTGAGTAGCTTTCTGCCTCATTTTATTTCCTGCAAGAACTTAATGCTATCTAAGATTACCTTGCTGATCTATTTATTATTAGTTAAGAATTTGCCTGTCACATTCACAAATGTATTCCTCTGTCTCTGAAGAGTGTTGGAACGTAGCAATTGCTGAATCACTTAATCAGAATATCATTCACTCTTCACAGGAAAGGCTCAGGCAGGGATGGTAGAAGTCTTGACTTCTCAAGTCTTCAAGACATTTTTTCCCCACTGTGATCCTGATGACTTCTCCATATCATATTTGTATATAGCTTATGTTTTTATTTTTAACACAGAGAAGGAAATAGGTTTATATCAGGATGAACTGTTGCATACATGTCCCATATCCCTAAAGGAAAACATTCTGCAATTGTCCAAATGTAATGAGTTTCTTAATGACACTGTCTCCCAGTAAAGCTCAGAGTGAAAGAGGGATAAAGAAAGAAGAAAGGGAGGAAACTTACCTTTATTAAACATGCACTAGGTGCTAGGCACAGAACTGGTGTCTTCACACATGTTCTCTAATTTGAATCTCGAAGGAGTCCTGCAAGGTCAGTATCACCAGCTTCAGTTTTATAGATGGAAACACTGAGGCTCGGTAAGTTGATGCTTTGCTCCAGGTGATACAAATGCTAAGTGGTAGAATTAGATTTTTGAAACCCAGGTCTGCCTGACACCGAAGTTCTGACATTTTGTGCTAATACATTGTGCTTTGTGAGATGGATATGCTCCTAAAATAGAAAGGAAGGAAATGTGAACTCAGCGCATAGTCACATATATTAGAACGAGTATCTGAAGCACAAGAATAAGTTACACAGACAATATGGAAAACAGACCTACAGCACTCAGTGCCCGAGCGTATAATTGGATGGATAGGATACAGATGAACATTTGGTTCTCTGGCAGAGCTCATGTACGGTATGACACAGAGCAGCTGTCCCCAGAGCAAGTTCTTTGTTGCTAGACCGGTGCGACACCAGCAGCATTTGAGCAGTTCGGGACTTCTTCCTGCTCTCGCTATAAATAGACTGTGTGGAATTCTGTATGTCAGAGTTAATGCAATGAAAACGAGTCACAGAGTAAGAAAATAAATGTTAACTCATTCTGTAAAGGAGAAACGTGTTTGGCACCGGGAGAGGCTGTGGAAACGCTATCATTACTTGGACGGTTCCTAAGGTCTTACTGAGCATATGAAATTGCGGAGTAGATCCTGTTATGTAAGGAGACAGGAGGACAGCATAATGTGGCTACGAAATGAAGAACTTTGTGTCCTTCAGGGAAGGGTTAACAGGACTGGAAGAAGATAGAGCGAGAAGTGTGATAAGAATGTGGAAAAGGAATGAATGGGTGGCACATATATGTGGGTGTTGCCAAAGCCGAGCTGCTGGATAATCCTCAGATGTCAGATTCCGTGAGGCCAACATGTGACTCAAAGCTTGCCACTCAACAGAGAATACTGGGCTGTGCTCATATTAAGAGGCTGGCTGGAAGCTAGGCTCCCACTGTGCACTAGCCTAACTCCCTGTCACTTTCCGTGTGTGGGTGGGTGTGCATGTGTGTGTGAGGGTATACATTTTTATGCAGTGGGTGTTTAAAGAGCTAAGCACTGAAGCTGGATTTCCATAAACGATCATCACGAGCACTCCAGACACACCAAACTTCCTCTCTTGGTATCTTTTCTTTCTTCTTTTGCAAATCCCAAAGGAGAGAACCCCAACATACAGCTCGCAGGATTGAGATGGTTTTCTCTCACCTATCCATGCCGGTGCCCTCCGAAGGTTAGAGCCGAAGCTATGTGGGACCGGCACGTTCCCTACGACCAGAGGAGAGGAGCTGCGTGAAGCAGTGGCAGTGGCCGAAGGAAGAGTGACTCTGCCCTGTTAACATGAACAACAGCTTGCAGGTTAACCTGCCCAGAAGCTGGGCTGCTTCAGGTGGCTCACTCCAGGAGAAGTCTGAGCACTCTTTTTTTCTTTTTTATTACTATAGGATGGAGGATGAAGCTGTCCTGGACAGAGGGGCTTCCTTCCTTAAGCACGTGTGTGATGAAGAAGAAGTAGAAGGTGAGCTTTATGGGTGGGGGAAGGATATTCATGTACCTCTGTCTTTGTAGATGATAGCATCCCTCCAGTCCACACGGCTTGTATTTGTGAAGTTACAAACCATAGCTTTTCTATGGAGTTTCATTAATTTCCCCATTTTACTTCAACACAGGAAGTAATTTTTAGAACTTCACTGGACTGTCGGAACCTGAGTCAGTGCAGTCCTGCATAGTTAAAATAAAAGGTGGGGGGTGTATTATTTTGAAGCAATTGCCTCTTCATGAAAAGTAAATATTTTTCCAGGTAATATGAACCATCTTCCAGTGACTAGTTCAAGGAAGCTGCTAGATTTGTATAAATGTATTTGGTCGAATATTCTGTTCTTTCTTATAGCTTGCACGGTAAAGAAGCAGATGTTATAGGAAGAGAATGATGGTAATGATACCATCGTCACCAGAAAAGTAGGTCAAAGTCAAGGATGTAAACAATCCTAATCATGGATGAGTCTGTTAGGAAGAGATGGACAAGCACTTTTTACTTTAAAAACCTCCAGGACCTCTTTTGCTAATGTTCCCCAAGTGCCTGTTAAAAATCAAATAAGAGTTAAGCTTTAGCTCATGTTATGATACTTTTAGTGTGTCTACTCTTATCTTTTGACTTATCAATAATGTGCAATCATACTATTTGTTTCAGAGTGAGAAAGCAAGACTTAATATTGATTAAAGTAATTATATGAAGGTATCACAAATAGACAGTGTTATTAATATTTATAATGAGATTGTAAAAATAACCAGTACTCATAAAATTAAATGAAACTTGCAGGTGAACCATGTCATAAAATGTGTCCATTAAAATCACCTGAGAGACAATTTGTATGTGTTTTGGAAACTGGTCTGATTGGTGCCATTTGAGCAACATTTAACACATACCAAAACCTTGGATGAGAGGTGTGGTGGAGTTAGAGAAAAGAGGGTGGTGTTATGTGTCCTGGAGTGACTCTTCAACCACACCGGTCACGGGCAAGTGATGCTCCAGTGCCACCTGGATTCGTTTGAATAGTGTGACCATTGTGTTTTTATTGTGTTTCCTTAGTCAGTTTCTTGCGACCATGGAGTGTTGGAGGGTTGCTCCCCGCTCCACCTTGCTACTTCCTGCATTTACGCTCTTGAGACTAATAAGAATTTGATACCTAAGTTTCTTAGGAAAAAGGAAACTACAGTATTTTTTTCATATTGTTTTATAGGTTTCTTGTACTTTTATAACATGACTGTGGAAAAATGTCAAGTCAGTCAAAGCAGAATAGTAAAACTTTTATTTTTATTTTTAAAAAATTTTAATTGTTGTTTTAAGTACAGCTTTCTGCCCTTTGGGAGAATAGTAACTTTTGCCTTAAGATTCTTATATTCTGTGACGTTGAATCTACCAGTGTGGTGACTTTGTCACTGCCCAGGGGTCAGAGAGGAAATACGCATCTGAAAGTGATAGCATATGGATAGAAATACTGTAGGACTGAGTGAAGATTCTATAGTTTTGGGGACAACTAAAGTAGAAAAATCAGTGAGAAAGTTTGAGAATGAGATGTGTGTGTGTGTGTGTGTGTGTGTATGTGTGTGTGTGTGTGCGCGCCTTCCTTGAGAATAGTGCACTAGCTAACTTCACAGCAGTTGTAAATCTCTTTCCTGAGTTTAAAGGCCTGTGGGATTGACAGCACCCTGTTCAAACTGGATATTGTACATGGGTTTCTTACAGCTTTGACCAAGGAATTAATTTCCTGAAGTATTTCCCTTGATTTTCAGGCGCAAAATTAAGACGACAGTGTAATAATTAACACACAAATCTATAGCTAGATTTCTTTAAGGAGAAACAAAGAAGACGACCAAAGGTGGTAAAAACATCTGTAAAATTGTTTGGCTTTCTGGTGATCAAATTTGCCACGTGGATTTTTTGCATATTCCTGTTCTAAGACTTCTATTTTAATGATTGTCTTTCATGTTGGAATCTGAGTCAGTTACTTTTATTTCAGGTCATGTGTAGCTAGTTGCCCTTTGTTGAATCCCTACAGGATGGTTGTTTATGATTGTCATTTGGTGGAGAACACCCACCAGCATAGGGTCCTCTACAGTATTGCTTGAAACTACAATAGGGACTGTTAGTTTCCAATTCAGTGCCCACCCAACGGACGCTCCCATATCCTCACCGGGCTTCATCTGATGGGGATAGGGAGCACTTAAATTTTATAGGAACTGCAGGTGAAAATGTAAAGAAGTTGCAATGGACATGGGTTTGATGACTGGTCCACAAGAATAAAGAAACAGATGACTCGACCATAAAGACCTCTGATATGGATTCATTCGTATTTTGAGGCAGAATGTATTATGCAAGGACCTATGTCTATCTCATATTTAATTACATTGAGAAGGATGAATTTGAAGGACAGCAAATTGTTATCTCTGTTCTGAAGTAGCCGAATTTTAGGAAATTTAGGGCAGAAGTAAGTGCTCCAGTTTTAAGGATGAGAGATTCAAAGGTTAAAGATGAGCGGGCACCTCTCATTTCTGTTACCAAACAAATCTGAAGCATGCTGCAGTACACTTAGCAAAAGTAAGCCGAACGGAAAATTTTGTCTTTTGAAGTAATTTGCACAAATGAGATGTACTCCCACTACACTATTATTAGGGTGACAAAGGTCCAGTAGCTCCAGTTACTTTGTAATATTCATGCTTTCAAAATTCTTCTTCGGCCCTCGAATCTGGGGGCACTGGATGTAGCTCAGCCTGGAGGCAGGACGAGCCAGATGCTCTGGCTCAGTGTCATCCAGTGCTGTGGTTCTGAGCAGGGGAGAGAGCCTGGGACTTCGGCCACGCCTCGGTTCACCTGGTTCAGCTTTACTCCCAGGGGGTGGCATGACACTCAATCCACATTCTGAAAACTCAACAGAATACCGTCAGCTGCAAAACTCACGAAGAACAGAGTGAGTCAGAAGAGGAGTCATGTTCTGTTTCAATTATGAATTTATCTATGTGGGACATAATTAAAGACCTAAGCCTCATTTTCACATAATTTGCCTTGTGCATTTGTGTTAGTGATGTCAAGATAGACTCTTTAAAAAGGTAGCCAAGTACCAATTTTTGATCTTTAAGATAAAGAGCAGCTTTATTTTCTCTTACTGCCAAGCAAAACAATTGAGATGGAAGAAGTTAAGAACCATATGATTTCATTCATGTAGGATATAAAGCTGAAAGCAACAAATGGACAAACAGGAACAATAAAAACTCATAGACACAGACATCATCAGTATGGTAGTTACCAGAGGGAAGGTGGGTAGAGGGTAGTAAAAGGGAAAGTGGGTCAACTATATGGTCATAGAAGATGCTTTGATTTTGGGTGGAGAGCACATGATGCAATTGAACATCATGTGTCTTAGATGTGTGCACTTGAACTTACATGGTCTTAGTAACCAATGTCACCCCAGTAAATTTAATGAAAAGAAAAAATACAAAAAACAAAAAGAAGCTTTAATATCTGTTCTTTCACTGGTTACGTTATACTGTTTTTGGTTTTGTAAAGTTAACATTTTTGGCACAGATTGGTTACTGTGGTGGATAAGCTCATTTAAAAATTCTAACACTTCAGATAACATATTTGTTTCTGTACCAAAAGGCTCCATCCCCAGCTCAGGCACTTTCACAGAATTGGTCTGTAGATGACAAATGGATGTTACCAGAGTGACCCAGAAATGTCGACAGGGAGAACAACACTCGATTTTCATTTTAAATGTGCATAGACAGGGGAAATTGCCAAATTTTGTGGGGTGAACCAAAGTTGAGATAGAAAGATAGATCACCAGGTAACTTTTTCTAAACAGAAGGATGTCTTGTAGATGTTTTATCTGTAAAAAAGTCGGCCAGGATTTTGGATCTGAATGATGTAAACAGATTACTTAATAATCTCGTATTTCGCAATAGGGGAAAAGAGCAAACTCCACCTTATCCTCTGAGATAAGGCTTTGGCTTTGCAGGGCTAGGTAACTCCCCAGCAGGCCTTGGCAACCCTGACGTTGTGAGGAGGGGCCTTTTCTTAACATCAATCTAACCAGCAACTCAGGAAGCATAAAGTACAGCAAGACAATATTGGCTGAAATGTGTCTCCATCTCTGAAGTCTGATCGGTGCTCTCAAAGCTATTCTGACACATTGTGGTGGCTTTCCTCTTCCATTGAAAACTAAGACCAAAAGGAAGTGAGCTCTCATCTGTGTGAGTGGAAGAGTGATTATGCAGGTTCCTATGCCCACTGGTCAACACCAAGCAAGTATCGTTGACAATGCGTACAGTTTTTACTGGAGGGTTACTTTTAGGGAAATAAAGGTAGAAAGCTAGGACACTGTCTGGAGCAGAATAAATATTTACCAAATATTTGTCAAGAGAAAGAGTGAATAAATGAATATATAATATAAACTAAATAGAGCATATGCAGAATTCCTTTATATAAAACTTTAAAATCCTTGTTTACATTTTTAGTTAGAAACTTGGGCCCTGGCTGGTGTAGCTCAGTGGATTGAGCACAGGTCTGCGAACTAGAGGATCACAGTTCAATTCCCAGTCAGGGCACATGCCTGGGTTGCAAGCCAGTTCCCCGCAGGCCAGTTCCCAGCAGGGGACACACAAGAGGCAACCATACATTGATGTTTCTCTCCCTCTCTCCTTCCCCTCTAAAGATAAATAAATAAATAAATAAATAAATAAATAAATAAATAAATAAAAAAAGAAACTTGGTTCTCAGTAGTCTTAGTCACATGAGATGATATACTTTTTAGTGATCCTATCCTTTGCTGCTACTCCTGTTTGATTCAGCAAAGATCATTGATATTTATATCATTTATATCTTTATATTGATAAGAAAAAGAAACCTCTAAAACACCTCTGCCTTATTTTTTTTTCCTTTCACTTGTCTATCTTTTGAGGAGAGAGACAAACAAATGATGAAATGGTATTTTGTTTTTTTGGAAGTCAGGATCTCAACAT